CTTTATCCTACCCTTTAGTGTACTTTTGCAAACACACTCCATGTCTCAATTGGCCATGAAGACAAACAAAAGGTTTCCCGAGTCTCATAGCTCCCGAGAGCTAATCATGAGGAAGACCGCTGACTCAGCAGATGTCCAGGGGACAGTCTTTGACACCCTCCACAAAGAGGGCAAGGCCACAAAACACCATTGTGAAAGAAGCTGTTCAGCGTGTTGTCTCCCAATATCTTCATGGAAAGTTGACTGAAATGAAAAAGTGTTGTAGGGAAAGGAAAAAGTTCACCAGCAACCACCAAGCTACTCCAGAATCAGAGACACGTATCTTACCGGGTGTAGCAATTATTACATATTAATTATGACCAATAAGATGTGATATTCCATATAAATATGAAATATCAATCTGATTGATCTTTGAATGTTTAATCAGAAAATTCTAGGGTTCTTTACTTCTTTAGGGACCATAAACACTCTTCGTATTAATTCAGCAGAGTCAGTATATAGTTTATAAAATGAATTTCATTATTTTTTCTAAACTAATAATTTATACATGACAAGAAACAAATAATGAGATGTGATGTGGTGGATGTGAGGTGTTGTGATGGAAGCTAGATGTTGTAGCAACCGTTCTTTGTATCTGAGAGAAATTGTGATCTCTGGGTGCAAAATAATTTGTTGTTTGGTTGTAAACCAGAGTTGTTTATTAAAAACAGCATCAGACACAATCTGTCATGCCAAGTCTACACACCCTTGGTGTGGAGGTTTTCGTTCGATCCAGGGGGTCGATGGTCACTGCCGGTGGAGTGAACTCTGATATCAGGAACCCGTAGACAGTTCCGATAGGACCCGTCCAGTCCGAGATCCCTTGAGGCGAAAGCCGAAAGCTGGAACGCTTATTTGCGTCTAAGGTTGATGTTTGTTTGGCTTTTTGAAGTGCCGGTTGTCTGGTATCAGCCGCAGCATTGCAGAGATGCTTTGACTTATGGTCAAAGGAGTTTGTTTCAAAAGAGGCTTCTTTCCCGATTTGGCAGAATCGGGGTTCAGCTGGAAACTGAATTAATCGGGAGGTAAATCCTGTTTTATTAAACTACTTTGCCATGATTTCCGGCCATTCTGGCAAATCAGAATGTGCCGTGTCTGGAAGGCTTTACCAAAACATCTCTCAGAAAACCACACCTTCCTTCAGATACAAAATTCTTAATACTGTGAATAAGAATGGCTTAAAACACTTATGCGAGGTAAACCTTAACCTTAATATGTATCTTATAAAGACATGTATGAGTGTAGATAATGATTAACTTGTTAAATCAAACACACAGTGATTTGTGATATAAATGGATCATTGTAAGAATAATATTCATTTCAAATTCATTGATTTAAGCACAGGTTATTCATACCTTTGATTTAAACATCTTGTTCATTCATCACATATGATTATTGTAAGCTTATGAGTTGTCAAAGTCGTGGAAACTTCACTTGTTCAGGGTGAAGAATGTTGACATCTAGCATTCATGCAGAGAGTGTAGAACCTTGGGAGAGAATGTTTGTTTGAATGTTTTGTCTTCTGTATGTCAACACGCGCTGAACAGAACCTTCTGGTTCTGGAAGGCCAAATAAAAAGTGGATTTATGCTGTAGATGAAATGTCACTATGTTGGTCAATATATAGGTGAAAATTGCCCCTTTTGGACGTTACAGTGGGCTATGGAGACTATGAACTGGACTGCTGCTCGGTGGCCCAAAGTCCTCTTTTCAAATGAAAGTAAAGTTTTCATGTGATTTTGAAATCAAGGTCCCAAAGTCTGGAGAATGAGTTGGATCAGAAGTCTAATGTGAAGTTCCCACCAGTCAGTGATGATTTGGAGCTTTATGCTGGTGTTCTTCCACAATGTTTTCTGAAGACCACAGTCAACACAAACATCTAACAGGATGCTTTAGAGCATCTCATGCGTCTTTTTACTGACAAGCTTAATGGAGATGCTGATTTCCTTTCCACACCAAAAGCTGGTTGAATGACCTTAGTGTTGCTGTGCTCGATTGGCCAACACAATGGCCTGACTTCAGTCACCCTCATGAGGAGTTTCAAACAAGTACTGATGCATTGAAATGCACATACTACCTTACAGAAGCCTGAAATTCGGTTTAAAAACGTTTTTATTTTATTGATTGATTTTTTATGAAACACTGAATTAAAATGTTTTCTAAATGAAAGCCATAATCATTACAATTAAAATAACTTTAAATATTTCCCTTTATCTAAATTGAACCTATACAACATTTCACTTTCTGAAATATAATATTTTATAGTAAAGTTTTTCAAACTCTTTCATCTTTTATTTTTGATTTGTACTGGTATAGCGCTTCAAAGACTTTGAATATGACACCAGTGTTGCAACAAAACTCACAAAAATTAAATATTCTCATAAAATGTTCCACACTGAACCAACTCTGCCCTCTAGTGGCCGTAATGACTAGTCACGGCTATTGAAACCTTTACAATCACTCCCACAAGGTGGCAGCTTTCTCCTGTTAACGAATGTTTTGCATTTCACGATAAAGTAGGTGTAATAGTTTACACACAAGGTACAGCCTCATAACCCGGAACTATATCCCTCCGCACCCTAAGCAGGCACTACATTCTCAGTATATGAGTGGCACTATATGTAAACTACAGTAGGAAAATATCAATAATTAAATGAAGTCATGTGATGCTTGTTTACTCTGTGCGTTAAGGAGTAACTTAACAATAAAACATAGGTCATAAAATGTTATTTTAAAGGAAAACTTCAAAATACACCAGATTTCCATTTTTTACTAATCCTGTTGGAGTTCCATAGTAACAAGGAATTGGTTAAATGCTAGGAACAAAAAGACGTCACGTCACACGATGAAAACATTTACCCCATTAAGGTCTTAATTCAAAGTCACCAAGACATTAATCCTGGAGAACTGGTGAGACCGCTCAGCCCAGTTTGCTGAAATTTCTGTAAAGACTCAGTGCTGTTAGTATGAGCTCCACATGTTCGTATGCATGTCTAACGATGTCAGGGTGTCCTCCTTGTGAGCTGATGGATTGTATCACCCTGATCATCACAGAGAATCCTGAAGAAGAAACAATCTTTTATATAGCACCTCTCAAAATAAAAACCGCAAGGTGTTTCACAAGATCAAAACATTTAAAATTAAAAATTATTTTGAATAAATCACAAGAAATGGGAGTAGTAATTAATTTGAATAAAACTTTTGTGAGTAAAGAGAAAAAGAATATGAATAAGAAAAAGGCAGAATTGGTAGAAAGAGCTGAATGAGAATAAGGTAGTGATGAAGAATCAACAGGTCACGCAAAAGCCAGCCTGAACAGGTGAGTTTCGGCTGCTTTTTAAAGGAGACCACTGAGTCCACTGATCTCAGGCTCAGGGGGAGAGAGTTCCAGAGTCTGGGGACCACAGCAGCAAATGATCTGTCACCTTTGGTCTTAAGCCTGGTGCTCTGCACAACCGGTACGCTTTGGTCACTGGACCTCAGGGACCTGCTGGGGGTGTCGCCGTTTAAAGTGAGTGCAAATGTTACCACTTTTGCACACAAAAGCAATACATTTAGATATTAAAGTATTTTGTAGCTAATTTTGGACCCTCTTTCATTTTTGCCATGCTTAAAAAGTATGAAACCCGTTGTGAATAAAAGCTTTTTTGAATGGTCAATTGTTCGTAGCGTTTTATCAACACCGTCTTTAAACAGGTTAAACCACTGAGTGCTGAGATTATCTGAAGCTGCACAGAAACTGTGGCTTAAGCAGTCAGTTGCTGGGTTTCTATTCTGGTAACTGTTGTACTCTTATTTACACCAAATGAAAGTGCAAGTGGTTTAGTATGAAACTTCATAAATGGGAAATGGGGAACAGAAAGAAGATGCAAAATGAGGAAGAATGAGAGGAAAACATCAGTGGATGCAGGACCATGAGGGTGGATGTTGGATCATTTCTTTAGGCTCCTGAATGCCATGTTTGGTGTAAAAAGTTCTAAGTCTGAATGTACAGTCAGTCTGAATGTGGTCAGTGAAGCAAATGAGCTGAGGAACGTAAGGACTCTGTTTTGAAAAATATTCAGCTCATGGGAAGGTCTTTGACTAATAACTAGAAATTAGTTAAAATAAAAATGACGTCTTACTCTGGCCCACAAAGAGAAAGCAAATGGTTCTAATGGTTCCTAATTGAATTAAAAAAACAATAACATTTATATTTGACTCATTCCATAAAAAATGGATATGTTTATAGTGAGGTATGTTTTCCTGAGAAAACAGCTTTTTTCAGATATCGTGCATCTCAGCATGAGTCATTGCTAATTGTGAAAAACTGTTTTTTCAATTGAAAGGAAAAAGATCAGTAGGTTGCATACTTGGCTTTAAAACCAATGACCTGATACAAAGTGCCAAATGTCAATTCAGTTGAAGGCACAAAAATGTTTCAGCCAAATAAAATAGTAAGAAAACTACATTTTCCCTTAGTTCTCGCTGACAGTCTAACTCGAGCATTGAGTTAGTGAAGTTGGGCGATGGTAGCAGAGGAGTTAAGTGCCCGCCCTATAATTAGGGGGTTGCAGGTTCGCGACACACTCAGTGTGTGAATGTGTGTGTGAATGACTGTTGTGTGTGTGTGTGAATGACTGTTGTGTTGTAGTATGCCTTGGGGGCATGGACGTAGTTTGGACTTTAGGAGTGGCAGGGACACAACCAGCCGGGGGGGGGTGGGGGGTGGGGTGGGGGGGGGGGGGGGCGGGTGTTCGTTACAGTAAGCATACAAAATATACGTATGAAATACAGCCTAGAGGCTCTTTTATGCAATGTCAGGAATGCAGAACTGTCAATTCCACAGGTGGCAGGAACGGCTAATCACACGTTAGCAAGTATCAGCAGAGCCTATAGAAGAGCTTCTAATGGGAAACAGGCTTCAACACAAGCGGTTGTTTTCTGCTTGGTCCTAGTGCTCAACCAGTGTCCATTTAATATAGCGTAATTTAGCTTTTGGACGGTAAAACGTGCAGGGGACAAAAATTTACTTTGGAAAAAGTAGGGAGGACATGTCCCCCCACCAGAAAAAAACTATGTTCATGCTTGGGGGGTTGTAGAACCACAGAAGGTTACATACAAAATACGGTAATTTCCCATTTAGCATGGTTTTCCTGCGCTGACACATTACACCCTACAGCATGTAGCTGTCTCTGGGCTTTTGCTATAGTTGCCTGAATTTCCCCCAGAGGTTTTTTTGATAGAAAAAAAAAGAAAATAAAAAGCATAAAAAGAAAATCTGCAACAAAATTATTTTTTCATTCAAACCAATGACTTCAAAGAGTCTCGTACAGAAAGTGTCTGCTGTGACTGATTGTGACGTTGGCGAACACAACCTCCCCCCACCCCTGACACTTGTGGTTTTGCTCTAACTCATATAAACTGAGATGTGATACTGTGACATTTCTGAGAAACACAGTTCAGTTACATGAAGACAGGTGACTACATGGTCTTCCCTGCATTGGGAAATGATCATAATCTTTGGCACTTCACCTCACCTCATGGAAACTTTTAGGCACTGGAGATCACGATATGGATATGTGTTGTTATTTCTCCTCGCAGCAATCAGCAAAGGTAAGCTGCATGAAAACCTCTGATCTTTGACAGTATGAGCTTTGTGATTTCGTAGATTTTTTTAATTTAATCTCAACACAATCAATACAATATAAGATAGTGACAAATGATTTAAATTACATTAACAGCCACAGAAAACTGGTTAACTTATCTGCATTGTGTGGTTTCCTCTAACAAGTCACATCCGGTCTGTTGCAGACTCAGTGAAGCTCTAACAAGCAAAGTTTTCTGCAGTAGAACCACTGATTGTAGAACATTAGTACAACATTAGTCTAATTGCTATGTGTTGATATGCTCAAAATACAAATTTAGTTTCAAATGTGTTTTCTCCTAAGGGTCAGCATGTGGTGCTCTTTCCAGTCCTCAGTGCTTCAGAAGAAATGAGGTAGCCTCTATTTATATTTGTGAATGGAGCTTCAACACAAACGAGAGCGATGTGACGTTCACCCTTTACTTTACGTGAGTAGAGCAGCAGGTACAGCAGGGCTGACATCTTCATTAAGGTGGTCCTAGAATTTTAAACCACTTTTACCTTGTTGTTGTTAAATAAAGGCAGCTTGGGGTGTCTGATGTAGCAAACCAAAAGGTCTGTGTCATCTCTAACCTGCTCTCACCCAAACAGAAGCTCGGTGGCGTCGTTAATGCGGTCGAATGTAGTGAGGACTGTCCAGATCTTTACATAAGAGAAACTAAACAACAATTACACAAGCGCATGGCACAACACAGGAGAGCCACTTCTTCTGGTCAAGACTCTGCAGTCCACTCACACCTGAAGGTCAAGGGACACACTTTTAAAGATGACAAAGGACACATTCTGGAGAGAGAAGATAGCTGGTTTGAGAGAGGAGTAAAGGAAGCTATTTATGTCAAACATGAACAACCTACATTAATAGGGGAGGAAGGTTTGGATTTCACCTTTTCAGCACCTGTAATGCAGCTCTGAATCTCATTCCTAAGCAGTTTCAGTCCAGGTCACAGCCTCCTGCATCTAATCAATACAACAACTCCTCAGAGGGTAGGAAGGAGGGGTGTTCAGAGTGAGTTTCTGCTCGTTAAGCAACAATAGACAGTTACAGTTTAAAAGCTTGACACTTCCATATTCCAGTCAGAATTGAAAAAGCTCATTGGATCAGAAGCAAAACGTCTTCAAGAAACCAAAGAAGTTCAGTTACCTTCATTTGAACCCTTTTGGATCTCTGAGCAAATTATTAATGTAAAGGCGATGGAGAAGCAGTTCATTTTGAGAAAAGCTGATTTAACATCTTATAGGCTTAGACACACCATCTTACATTAGCATGTCTAAACCCACTTCAGTGTCGGTGATATATAATGTTGATGGCGGTAATGCTAACTGCAGAAAAATACTAGCCTGAACTACTGCTAATGCTAGCCTGTGCTACCGTTAAAACGAACCCAAGCTACTGCAAAGGTTAACGTCTACAACCTGTTTGCTGAACACTCATTTCGTTCCTTGTTCATCCAGACTCTCCCCTTCCATAGACAACGGCAAGCGCAACACTCACGTCCTCCTTTAGATTTGCTCACTTCCAAATGACCAAAGAGGGACTTAGTCTTTGTTTACAATCTGTGAGCCCGCAGAGTTGCAGAGTCTTTGCAAAACACAGCATTTTGCAAATATCCAAAGTAACAGATGCGACCCAGAAGTTATTTCTTTTAATTCTAAGAAGCCACAGCATCTTTTTGTTTAACTCTACTAGTAATAGAGTAAAAAAGGCTAGACGCTAACTTTAAGCTAACAATACTAAAGGTGAAGTTCAAACAGTTGTCTCTAAAAATATCTCATGCTACTTTTTCATCAACCAACAAATAGTTATTACAGTGAAATTTATGTTTTTACTTATCAACTGGCTGTGTATGACTCGATGTAGAATCTTCTGGGGCTGAACCATTGCTGGCAATAGCCATGAAACCCTGTGTGTTTTGAAAATGAGCTGCACTAACCACATTTGACCACAGGATGTCATCTTACTTCACTCTTGGCTCTGGAAATGTTTAGGAAATGTTGACTTTGTTTATTTAAAAAATGCTGAAACACACATTGCACTTCCACTTTGATTAAATTATATTTTTCTCTGCAGGGACATTTTTGGTATTGAGAAAAAAATTGAGAACATAAAGAAAAACCACAAGAACATCATCGAAGAAGAAGAAGACCTGACAGTCAGTGACAGAGTTGACATCTGGGTGGAGGCTCACGTTGGAAATGCTACATGCACATCACCCAATGTGTCTGGTTTACTAATAGACTCAGGTAATAAATGCTGCTACATAAATAATCTTTGGGCTGAGTTTTGTTATTTTTCCTTCACAGCAATTAATTATGAATCCAATGAAATACATTTTGTCAACAGTTAAATATGATGCTCCACATAATATTTTAGCATCCTGGTTAAGGAACAACCTCAGTTTGAGCTGGCAGGCTGCAGAGCGTTATCCAGCTTTAGCAGAAGTCTGTTTTAAAAAACATGGAAATCTCCTGGAATCATGTGAAAAAGTGAGAATGTTCATTATTCCTTATTCCAACATTTTTATAATCAATTTTCAACTAGTTTAATGATTTATTGTTCTTACAGAGATTAATAAATACCACAAATGAAGCTTCCAAGTGTGAGTACATCATTTTTTATTGGATACTATTTACTTTTCCAATTTTGTTGGGATATATTTGTTTGGTAAAACTTTACAATAAGGATCCCTTTATTAACATTACTTAGTGCACCCTGTGGCTTTGCAAGTTCTCCATCCATCCACCCATTTTCTGAGCCCGCTTGTCCATGTGGGGTCGCGGGGGCTGGTGCCTTCCCAGGCTGGGAAGTGAACCCAGGGCTTTCTTGCTGCAAGGCAACAGCTCTAACCACTGCACAGCCCCTTTGCAAGTTCTCCCATTTATAAATTATGGAGGGGTCTGAAATTCACATTGTAAATGCATTCCTACCATGAGAGACAGCATTTTAAAAAAATTAAGGAAATCACTCTGTATGATTATTTTTTCTTGATAAACTGTCCAAATTGATTTTGATCACAATCATCAATTGCGCAGTTGAACTAAGAGGTAATTTAGAAAATGCAAATTAGCAAGCTTTTAACAACAGAGCTCTTAACAGAGTGGTTTGCTGTTCTTTTCACCTGCTGTGGAGATATTATGGTCTCACACTGTGTGAAGAGTTAATTTGCCCACTTAATGGCACAAATTACAATAGAATAGAATAGACTTTATTAATCCCACAGTGGGGAAATTCACTTGCTACAGCAGCACATACACTGCTGTAGCAAGAAGAAAAGGAAGAAGAAAAACAATGACAAGATTACAGGTAAACACACCAAGGCAGTAAGCTATTATTGTGACCCCCAATGACCAAAAACAACGAATAAAAAGGAAACTTGTGTTTCCAAATCTATGCAGCATAAGAGACACAGACATACAAATCTGCATCTGATATTGCACAATATTGAACACATACTGATGTTATTGTGTAACAGGATAACGCCAGTACCAGTTAAACTGAGGAGTTATACACTCTTATTGCAGAGGGGATGAATGACCTACGGTAGAGTTCTGTTTTACATCTGTGATGTCTCAGGCCTAGTCCACACGTAGCCGGGTTTTTCAAAAACGAATAACCGCCCCTCCAAAAACTTGCATCCACACCACCTCGTTTAAAAAAAACCTCTGTCCACACGTACCCGGACAAATACGTTGTTAAGGACATGCCAGACCTGTAGGCGGCAGTGCTTGGAGAAGCCAGGTGCCGGGCAATAGCCATTCTTAACCTCGTCCTTCGTCTGTGGTCTTCCGCAAGGAGCAGTAATTCCGCTTGCAAAAACAAACAAGCAAAAAGCGCTTGGACAATTGATAAAGCGAGCGCAGCTCTGAGGGCATTATGCAGTCGGCTAGTGTAAACACAGGTCGCACACATGATGTCAGCATTTTTTGTCACGGAAAGTGACGTTGCGGACCTTAAAACTCCGGTTTTGTCTGTCCACACGCAGACACCCAAAATGGAGAAAACACAGCTCTTCACTTTGGCCGGAGGTTTTAAAAAGATCCGTTTTCGTGTGAAAAAACTCCGTTTTCGTGTGGATGACAGGCCAAAACGTAGAAAAATATCTACATTTTGGCAGGTTCCCAGCTACGTGTGGACAGGGCCTCAGTCAGTTACTGAAGGAGCTGTCCATGGTCTCCGCAGTGGAATGCAGTTGGTGGGTGGGGTTTTGCGAAAGGAAATCAGCTGCTGTCTTTGAACATTAAAAGCAAAAATGTCACAATGTGTGTGCATATTTCTGTCATACATCACAATTTTTTGCTCTGGGAAAGATTGAAAATGTCATTAAGAAGACAAAATCAGTTGAAAACTATTGAATAATGACTTTTCTGTTCATCTGAACAGATAATGTCGTCATCGTGAATCTTATGAAGAGTTCGGCTTACCAAGTGCGAATCAGACACCTCGCTACGAAATACAAAGTACCACTTTGGAGCAACTGGTCGCCATTTATTACAGTTCCTGCAGGTAAAATCATCATCAAATGGATCAGAGATTCAGATTAAAACTGCTGCAGATGCAAAAAATACAAAGTCTCTTTTCTCACTTGTAATACTTCTGCATCAGACTCTTAACTCAGCTGGTTTATTGATTGTGTATAAATTCATGCATCTTCTTTGGAAACCACAGATATGGACAATTCTGAATTAAACCCGTTTTGTGATTTCTTTGCAGCACTTGATTGTAAACTTGAAGTCAATCACACAAGCAGACTTTTAAATGGCACTCGGCAGGTGACACTGACTTGGAAGGTACACGAATAAAGTGAAAGCAAATAAAGCCCACAGCTAGTTTTCTACTCACCTTCTTCTTAGTAAACAAATCCAGTCACATAGCAAAAGATTTGTGATCATTTTGTATAAATTACTCTCTACAACAGGTACCCAAAGTTTTGGGGATGAAAGGAACGAATCGTCAAAAACTCCTGATGGAGAACAATTTGCAATTATTTTTTGAGTCATTTCATGGCAAGAAGTATACAACATACAGAACATTGTTTACCGATAAAGTCAAAGTGAAAATGTGGCGATATGCTGGTGAAGGTTCTCAATCATCCAGGTCATGGTAATCCAAAGGGTTCTGTTGAAGAAAACTGTACTTCTTTGGTTTCTTGAGGACATTTTGTCAATTCTAAGGAGAGAAATACAGTCACTACCTTACTTAATCTGTGTTAAATTAAAATTAAATTGAGCTTCATGCATAAAGGAATCAGACATGTTTTCTAACTCTATAAATTCCACTTGATTTCCTGCTCCTTAGCCGATCCCACATCAAGCAACACTCAGAGGAGTGACATACAGTGTGACTGACACACACTCTTCTCATGGATGTCCTTGTAAGAGGAAAAAGAGCCAAACCAGCAGAGACAGCAACCATCACACCCTGCATGTGTCTTACTCGGCCGTCAACATCACTGTTGTTGCCAGAAATGAAGCGGGGAAGTCACCTGAAACAGTCCTCCATGTACCAGCTGCTTCTGCAGCAGATTTAAAAAGTAGGTCTCAGAGTCGACATGCGTTTTAGTGTCACATCATGTTTATTTCCTCACCTAAACCAGTCTTGTTTCCTCCTTCCTCTCCGCCAGTTTGTGACCAAACATTACTGAATGAAAAGCTAAAGAGGAGAACTTGTCTTGAGCTGTATGAGCTTCAGGATGCAGATTTAAATCCAGAAAGTGTCATCGTATTAACAGCTAGAAAACAGAAGAAAGGAGAGGGAATAAAAAGCAGTAAGTATCAATTAATTCTATTTATTCTGATCGTCGTCTCTCGTCTCGTCTTCCTCCGCTTATCCTGGTCCGGGTCGCGGGGGCAGCATCCCAACTAGGGAGCTCCACACCGTCCTCTCCCCGGCCTTCTCCACCAGCTCCTCCGGCAGGACCCCAAGGCGTTCCCAGACCAGATTGGAGATGTAACCTCTCCAACGTGTCCTGGGTCGACCAGGGAGCCTCCTGCCGGCAGGACATGCCCGAAACACCTCCCCGGGGAGGCGTCCAGGAGGCATCCTGACCAGATGCCCAAACCACCTCAACTGGCTCCTTTCGATCCGGAGGAGCAGCGGTTCTACTCTGAGTCCCTCCCAAATGTCCGAGCTCCTCACCCTATCTCTAAGGCTGAACCCGGACACCCTACGGAGGAAACTCATTTCGGCCGCTTGTATCCGCGATCTCGTTCTTTCGGTCATTACCCAAAGCTCATGACCATAGGTGAGGATTGGGACGTAGATTGACTGGTAAATCGAGAGCCTGGCTTTCTGGCTCAGCTCCCTCTTCGCCACGACAGATCGGCTCAGTGTCCGCATCACTGCAGATGCCGAACCAATCCACCTGTCGATCTCCCAATCCCTCCTACCCTCACTCGTGAACAAGACCCCAAGATACTTAAACTCCTCCACTTGAGGTAGGACCTCTTCCCCGACCTGGAGTTGGCAAACCACCCTTTTCCGGTCGAGAACCATGGTCTCAGATTTGGAGGTGTTGATCCTCATCCCAGCCACTTCACACTCGGCCGCGAACCTATCCAGCAAGAGCTGAAGGTCAGAGCTGGATGAAGCTAGGAGGACCACATCATCCGCAAAAAGCAGAGATGAGATTCTCCTGCCACCAAACTCGACACACTCCACACCATGGCTGCGCCTAGAAATTCTGTCCATAAAGGTAATGAACAGAACCGGTGACAAAGGGCAGCCCTGGTGGAGTTCAACCCTCACCGGGAACAGCTACCGGCTATGCGAACCAAACTCACGCTCCTCTGGTAAAGGGACTGAATGGCCCTTAACAGAAAGCTACCCACCCCATACTCCTGGAGCGTCTCCCCCAGGGTGCCCCTGGGGACACGGTCATAAGCCTTCTCCAAATCCACAAAACACATGTGGATTGGTTGGGCAAGCTCCCATGCCCCCTCCATCACCCTTGCAAGGGTATAGAGCTGGTCCACAGTTCCACGGCCAGGACGAAAACCACGTTGCTCCTCCTCAATCTGAGATTCAACTATCAATCGGACCCTCCTCTCCAGTACCTTGGAGTAGACCTTTCCAGGGAGGCTGAGGAGTGTGATCCACCAATAGATGGAACACACCCTCAGGTCACCCTTCTTAAAGATGGGGACCACCACCCCGGTCTGCCACTCCACAGGAACTGCCCCCGATGACCACGCAATGTTGCAGAGACGTGTCAACCATGACAACCCTACAACATCCATAGCCTTGAGATACCCAGGACAAACCTCATCTGCCTCCGGGGCTCCGCCGCTGTGTAGTTGTTTGACTACCTCAGCAACTTCTGCCCCCGAGATCGGACAGTCCATCCCCAGGTCTCCCGGCTCTGGTTCCTCCTCGGAATGCGCATAGGTGGGATTGAGGAGCGCCTCAAAGTATTCCTTCCACCGTCCGATTATAGCCCCAGTTGACGTCAACAGCTCCCCATCCCCACTGTAAACAGTGTGAGCGAGTTGCTGCCTTCCTCTCCTGAGGCGCCGGACTGTTTGCCAGAACCTCTTTGGAGCCGATCGATAGTCTTTCTCCATGGCCTCACCAAACTCCTCCCACGCCCGAGATTTTGCCTCGGCAACTGCCACTGCTGCACCCCGCTTGGCTATCCGGTACCTGTCTGCTGCCTCAGGAGACCCACAGACCACCCACGCCCTGTAGGCCTCCTTCTTCAGCCTGACGGCTCCCCGAACCTCTGGTGTCCACCAGCGGGTACGGGGGTTGCCACCACGACTGGCACCGGCCATCTTGCGACCACAGCTAGCAACAGCCGCCTCAACAATCGCAGAGTGGAACAAGGCCCACTCGGAGTCAATGTCCCCCACTGCTCTCGGGACGCGGTAAAAGCTCTGCCAGAGGTGGGAGTTGAAGACCGTCTTGACAGGTTCTTCTGCCAGGCATTCCCAGCAGACCCTCACCATGCGTTTGGGTCTGCCAGGTCTACGCGGCATCTTCCCCTGCCATCTGATCCAACTCACCACCAGGAGATGATCAGTTGACAGCTCCGCTCCTCTCTTCACTCGGGTGTCCAAAACATACGGCCGCAGATCAGATGATACAACTACAAAGTCTATCACCGACCTGCGACCTAGGCTGCCCTAGGTACCAAGTGTACCGATGGGCATCCTTATGTTCGAACATGGTGTTCGTTATGGCCAACCTGCGGCTTGCACAGAAGTCCATTAACGAAACACCATTCGAATTCAGATCAGGCGGGCCGTTCCTCCCAATCACACCCCTCCAGGTCAAGCTGTCATTGCCCACATGAGCATTGAAGTCCCCCAGCAGGACAATGGAGTCCCCTACTGGAGCACTATCTAGCACTCGTCCCAGGGACTCCAAAAAGGGTGGGTACTCTGAACTGATATTTGGCCCATAAGCACAAACAACAGTCAGGACCCGTTCCCCGACCTGAAGGTGCAGGGAAGCTACCCTCTCGTCCCCCGGGGTAAACCCCAACACACAGGCAGAGAGTCTTGGGGCTAACAAAACGCCAGCCCCAGCCCTCCGCCTCTCACCCGGTGCAACTCCAGCAAAGGAGAGTGTCCAACCCCTCTCAAGGACTTGGGTTCCAGAGCCAATGCTATGTGTCGAGGTGAGTCCGACTATATCTAGCCGGTACCGCTCAACCTCTGCCACAAGCTTCATGTTCCTCCTGCGGGTGGTGGGTCCACATTCCACAGTCCACATGAATTAAAAGCAGTAAGTATCAATTAATTCTATTTATTCTGATCATCATTCAAATTTACACCAAACCTCATTGATAATTCCAGACGTTTAGGGCAACATTTAGAACTTTTGACCTCATACTGATGAAGCTAGGGTTAAAATGTTCCACTGAGGGATGAAACATGCGTTGTGGTTCTGTTACAGGCATGAAAAACTTTACACGCTACCTGTACTTTGAACACAGATGTCACAATGGCAAACCACGGACAGTTAAAGTGTGCCTCTTTTATCTGAAAGAGGGTGGTGAGTGTCTTTAGTGAGACATTTCATCATAATTAAAATAAATTCTAAACGTTTGATCGTTTTGCAATGCTCCCGTTTTTACTCAGCGCCCAATAAGGAGCCACAGTACGACAAAACCATTCCTAAAACACATTCTGTGTACCTGTCCTGGAAGGAGATTTCATTTGAGCACCACCGAGGTTTCCTCACAAACTACAGCCTGTGCAGCATGAAAATCAGTCCGCAGAAAGAGCCCAAAGGTATGGAAGACTATGTTTTGTGTGTATTTTTAAGAATTTGAATTATTAATATAAGCAGGGGTCCCCAATCCTGGTCCTGGAGGGCCAGTATCCAGCAGGTTTTGTGTTTTTTCTGCTCCAACAGACTTGATTCAGTGGTTGAAACACCTGTGCAGCAGCTCATGAGGCTCAGCATAAGCCTGTTAATTAGCTGCTGATTGAAATCAGGTGTGTTGAAACAGAGTTCAAACTAAAACATACAGGATACCGGCCCTCCAGGACCAGGATTGGGGACCCCTGATATAAAGGCTTCTGTTGACGTATCTGCACCTTATCGTATCAGAGTGCTTCAACATCTCAGCATCAATGACTGAACACCACCTGGAGAATCTGACCCCAGGAGCCAAATACAACATCACTCTGGCTGGAGTGACCAGAGCAGGAGAAGGACTTCTAGCTGCACAAATTATAGAAACGTTACAAGAGAAGCCTGTTAACGGTATTAGACTTAAAGGACTTTTTATTTTATTCAAGTGTATTTTGTCATTAATCTGTTGTGAGGTCATTTTTTTCAAATTTTCTAATTTCTTCTCTTTATGACATGTCTTCTTTAAAACAGTGTGGCTGAGTTTTGGGTTGCTCGTGGTGTTCTTCATCTTCTCAGCAGTCTGCACCGTTATCATAAAGAGGTAGGAGGCTGATTATTGTCCTTTCAAGTCTATTTATTATCGTCACTTCCATTTCTAATTCTCACAACATAAACATGATCGGGACAAATCTAGCTAAGATGATAGAAAAACCAAAAGTTGAAATGGATGTTACTAGACACATAACTGCTAACGTCAATACTATGTTTATTAAGGACACTGATGAACAAGAAATCATTTCCACTGTAAAAAAATGTTAAGGCAACAGATCAAAAGACTCTGAGAGTTTTGACACGTCATTAATAAAAAGAATAATAGAATGTAATGCTAAACTGTTTGCATACATTTGTAATCATCGTCTCGTCTCGTCTCGTCTCGTCTTCCTCCGCTTATCCGGGTCCGGGTCGCGGGGGCAGCATCCCAACTAGGGAGCTCCAGGACGTCCTCTCCCCGGCCTTGTCCACCAGCTCCTCCGGCAGGACCCCAAGGCGTTCCCGGACCAGATTGGAGATGTAACCTCTCCAACGTGTCCTGGGTCGACCCGGGGGCCTTCTGCCGGCAGGACATGCCCGAAACACCTCCCCGGGGAGGCGTCCAGGAGGCATCCTGACCAGATGCCCAAACCACCTCAACTGGCTCCTTTCGATCCGGAGGAGCAGCGGTTCTACTCCGAGTCCCTCCCGAATGTCCGAGCTCCTCACCCTATCTCTAAGGCTGAGCCCGGCCACCCTACGGAGGAAACTCATTTCGGCCGCTTGTATCCGCGATCTCGTTCTTTCGGTCATTACCCAAAGCTCATGACCATAGGTGAGGATTGGGACGTAGATCGACCAGTAAATTGAGAGCCTGGCTTTCTGGCTCAGCTCCCTCTTCCCCACGACAGATCGGCTCAGCGTCCGCATCACTGCAGACGCCGAACCAATCCACCTGTCGATCTCCCGATCCCTCCTACCCTCACTCGTGAACAAGACCCCGAGATACTTAAACTCCTCCACTTGAGGTAGGACCTCTCCCCCGACCCGGAGGTGGCAAGCCACCCTTTTCCGGTCGAGAACCATGGTCTCAGATTTGGAGGTGCTGATCCTCATCCCAGCCGCTTCACATTCGGCCGCGAACCTACCCAGCAAGAGCTGAAGGTCAGAGCTGGATGAAGCTAGGAGGACCACATCATCCGCAAAAAGCAGAGACGAGATTCTCCTGCCACCAAACTCGACACACTCCACACCACGGCTGCGTCTAGAAATTCTGTCCATAAAAGTGATGAACAGAACCGGTGACAAAGGGCAGCCCTGGCGGAGTCCAACCCTCACTGGGAACAGGTCCGACTTACTACCAGCTATGCGGACCAAACTCACGCTCCTCTGGTAAAGGGACTGAATGGCCCTTAACAGAAAGCCACCCACCCCATACTCCTGGAGCGTCCCCCACAGGGTGCCCCTGGGGACACGGTCATAAGCCTTCTCCAAATCCACAAAGCACATGTGGATTGGTTGGGCAAACTCCCATGCCCCCTCCATCACCCTTGCAAGGGTATAGAGCTGGTCCACAGTTCCACGGCCAGGACGAAAACCACATTGCTCCTCCTCTATCTGAGATTCAACTATCGATCGGACCCTCCTCTCCAGTACCTTGGAGTAGACCTTTCCAGGGAGGCTGAGGAGTGTGATCCCCCTATAGTTGGAACACACCCTCAGGTCACCCTTCTTAAAGATGGGGACCACCACCCCGGTCTGCCACTCCCTAGGAACTGCCCCCGATTACCACGCAATGTTGTAGAGACGTGTCAACCATGACAGCCCTACAACATCCATAGCCTTGAGATACCCAGGACGAACCTCATCCGCCCCCGGGGCTCCGCCGCTGTGTAGTTGTTTGACTACCTCAGCAACTTCTGCCCCCGAGATCGGACAGTCCATCCCCAGGCCTCCCAGCTCTGGTTCCTCCTCGGAATGCGCATTGGTGGGATTGAGGAGCTCCTCAAAGTATTCCTTCCACCGTCCGACTATATCCTCAGTTGACGTCAGCAGCTCCCCATCCCCACTGTAAACAGTGTGAGCGAGTTGCTGCCTTCCTCTCCTGAGGCGCCGGACAGTTTGCCAGAACCTCTTTGGAGCCGATCGATAGTCTTTCTCCATGGCCTCACCAAACTCCTCCCACGCCCGAGATTTTGCCTCGGCAACTGCCACTGCTGCACCCCGCTTGGCTATCCGGTACCTGTCTGCTGCCTCCGGAGACCCACAGACCAGCCACGCCCTGTAGGCCTCCTTCTTCAGCCTCACGGCTCCCCGAACCTCTGGTGTCCACCAGCGGGTACGGGGGTTGCCACCACGACTGGCCATTTGTAATCAATCATTTAAAACTGGCATTTTCCCCAGTAAAATGAAAACTGCGAAAGTTTTACCAACATTTAAATCGGGTGATAAAAAACAGTCATCCAACTACAGGCCAATCTCTCTGTTATCTCAGTTCTCCAAAATAACGGAGAAAATATTTATAAGTAGATTGGATGATTTTATTGAAAAAAATAATTTACTAAGTGAGCATCAGTATGGATTCAGAACAAAAAGATCAACGGCAATGGCAACAATTAGCATGGTAGAGGCTATATCTAAAGCAATCGATAATAAAAGCAATAGAATAGGAATTTATTTAGATCTTAAGAAAGCCTTTGACACAATAGATTACAATGTCCTGCTAACCAAATAAGATAAATATGGCATACGAGGAATAGCATATAACTGGTTAAAAAGCTACCTAACAGGAAGACAACAATTCACTGAAATTGGAAATGTAAAATCATCTACAAAACAAGTGTCCTGTGGGGTAGCTCAAGGTTCAGTGTTAGGACACAAGTTATTCACACTTTACATAAATGACATCAATAAAGTAACTAATCAATTGAACTATATTCTCTTTGCAGATGATACCAATATGTATATCACAGGGAAAGACATAGAACAACTACTGAATATCGTTGGAAGTGAACTAGAAATACTAAAGACCTGGTTTGACAGTAACAAATTATCATTAAATCTAAGCAAAACTAAATACATTATATTTGGAAAACAAAAACTAGTGAATCTTCCTAAATTAATAATAAATGGGGTAGAAATAGAAAGAGTAAATGAAATTAAATTCTTGGGTGTCACAATACACCAAAGGCTGAGTTGGAAGCCGCACATAGAAAATGTAAAAACTAGGATGTCTAAAATTATTGCAGTCTTAAATAAATCGAAACACATTCTAAATGGGAAATCCTTATTACTTTTATACCAATCATTAGTACTTCCTTACATGATGTATTGTCTGGAAGTCTGGGGAAACACTTACAAATCTCAGATAGCACCCATAGTTTTATTACAGAAGAGGGCAATAAGAGTAACTAGAAAAATTGCATTTATTGCACAAATGCTGTTTGAATGCTGGATAGCTGAAACTGTAAGCTGAAGCTGCTGAACAGCTGAACTGAAGCTGAAACTAAGCAAAACTGTCAAAATGAGCTGAATGTCATGAAAGATGCAGAAGCAAAAAGCACCAACAAGCAAATAAAGCACAAAAAGTAAGTGAAGAATAGAGAAAAATTATGCTAAATAGCAAAAAAATAAAAAAAATAAAAACTTAAATCTGTGAACATTGTATAAAAATCTGGACAGCTTAAATGTTTAAACACCTGTTAATTTCAGTTTACCAAGTTTAACAGTTTAATCTTTACATTTAGCTGAACTGTGAAATTAGCAGTTTATGGTAAATTTGGTAACTGATTGCTGAAGTTGTTGAATAGCTGAAGTAAGCTGAAACTAAGCTAAACTGTCAAATGAGCTGAATGTAGTGAAAGATGTGAAAGCAAAAAGCACCAAGAAGCAAAAAAATGCACAAAAAGTAAGTGAAGAATCAAGAAAACTAATCCTAAATAGCAGAAAACTCAAATCTGTGAACACTGTTTAAAAAAATTGGACAGCTAAAATGTCTAAACACCTGTTATTTCAATAGGACTCGTTTAACAGTTTAATTTTTACACTTAGCTGAACTGTGAAATTAGCATCATACGCTGAATTCAGAAATTAATTGCTGAAGCTGAAACTAAGCAAAACTGTTAAAATGAGCTGAATGATTTGAAAGATTTAGAAGCAAAAAGCACCAAAATGTAAATAAAGCACAAAAAGTGAAGAACGGACAAAACAATCCTAAACAGCAGAAAACTGAAATCTGAACATTATTTAAAAATCTGGACAGCAAAAATGTCTAAACACTTGTTGTTTGAGTAGGACTAGTTTAACAGTTTAATTTTTATATTTAGTTGAACTGTGAAATGAGTAGCATACGCCAAATTCAGAAACGGATTGCTGAAGCTGCTGAATAGCTGAGGTGAAGCTGAAACTAAGCTAAACTGTCAAAAAGAGCTGAATGTATTTAAAGATTTAGAAGCAAAAATCACCAACAAGTGTAATAAAGCTCAGAATATAGGTGAAGAATGGATAAAAAATGCTAAACTGCAGAAAACTTTAATTTATGAACATTTATTAAAAACTTGAAATTTGAACTGTTAAACAGCTGGCATTTGAATGAGAATAGTTTAATGGGTACATTTTTACAATTGGCTGAACTGTGAATTTAGAAATATTTGCTGATATCTGAAACTGATAGATTAACATATGTTCAGATTTGATATGGGATGGATGAAGGGTTGGATGAATGAAATAACGGATGGATTGTTGGATGAATGTTAGATGGTTTATTGGATGGATGGATGGATGGATGGATGGATGGATGGATGGATGGATGGATGGATGGATGGATGGATGGATGGATGGATGGATGGATGGATGGATGGATGGATGGATGGATGGATGGATGGATGGATGGATGGATGGATGGATGGATGGATGGATGGATGGATGGATGGATGGATGGATGGATGGATAGATAGATAGATAGAAGCATGTATGGATAGATGGATGGATTCCTTAGGCCAAGCCGATCGATTTGATGTCTCACATGCGTGGGTGTGTAATTCCATTTAGCCAGAAGATGATTGACCTCTC